TGGCGAATCTGGGCCCTGAACCTCTGCTGCGAGAGCCCAGAATGTTGGCCCGCATTGACGTGTGCCATGGGCCGGTGCAGCCCGCTGCTGCTGCCCCCGCCGCTGCCAACGGCATTGACGCCACTGTCAACTTGAGTGAAGCTCATCTTAGGGGACTGCTGGGCCAAAGAGACGGCAGGGGCAGCAGCGGAGTTGTTCATGCCCAAAGAACCGTCAGAAGCAGCAGCGGCAACAGCAGCGACGGCAGAGAGGCGCGGCTGCGCAGCAGCGGCGCCCGGCGACAGCCTCGCAGCAGTGCCGTGCAGCAGCCCCACGGCTGGCACCCGGGTCTCCCCGCCTCCTGCTGTTGCCGCTCGGAATGCAGGTGCGGAGCGGTTGCGAGCAAGGAAGCGGCTGCCCGGCGGCGGCGGCGGGCCTGCCTGATGCCCTGGAGCACATGGCGAGCAAGAAAGGACACACAACGAACATGCGTGCGCACATGATCGCTTATGAGAGCGGTGGTGTGGGTGGGCTTGCGCCGGGACAACCCCTTCTTAAGCTGCCATCTGGCCGAACACACCGCGAAGCCGCAAACTCTGCCTGATGTTGCATGCCTTATGTTGCATGTCTGATGTTACATGCCTGCTGCTGCACGCCTAATGCTGCATGCCTAATGCTAGACCGAGGCCGTGGCCCTGGCCGTGGCGTGGCGTGGCGTGTGTTCTTACGGCAGTGCAGTCAACAAGAGAACATGGTCCTGGAAAGCTAGGAGTCTACAGACGTCCTGAGAGCTGCTGAAGGCACCAGGCGGCAGCCCCGGGAGGAAAAGCAAACTACTTGTTAGGGTTCCGCATCTCCCCTCCCTCGTTAAAGGCGCGCAGTGGTCGCCGGGACCGGGACCGGGACTAGCACGGTACGGGTACAAAGTCCAGGCGAATGAATGGCGATCTGAGCTTACAATGTTCCCAAGGCCCCCAGCCACCCACCCCAGCCGCACCTCCGTCTCCCTCCTCCGCCAGCCCCGTCCGGCTCACAACCGCACACTCGGACATCGGAGCTCCGTCTGACGCCGGTAAGCCGCCGCTGGTGCCATCGCCAGTGTCGGTGCGCCTGCCAGCTGAAGCGGCGACAGCAAACCTCGAGGGCCGCTGCGGCATGGCGCCTGCCGCCCCTACTGCAGGTAACGCCCCTGTCGCTCCATAGCCCGACGCGGCTACCAGCCAGTCCCCCTCCCTGTCACCACCGCCGTCAGTATCGCCACCCACGACCGCGTCGCCACCTTGGCGCTCCATGCTTCCATTCAGCAGCGCCAGATGCGACTGCAGTAGCCATTGCCGCAGCCGTTCCTGTGCCCAGGCGTCCTCCAGTCGGTGTTGGTGCTGCTGCATCATCCGTTGGTACCGCAGCAGCTTCTCCGAGCGCGGCAACAAGATGTCCCAAGAGTCCTCACGACTGGCCTGTAGGGCTGCAGGGCTCCGGCCCAGCCTGGTTCGATTATGCTGGGCTTGGTTATTGGGGTGATGATGGTGGTGATGAAGGCCAGAGGCGGCAACGCCGCCGCCGGCGCCACCGTAGCTGCTGTAGCATGCGCGCTGGCGAGGAGCCGTATACATGCCGGAGGCGCTGCGCCGTCCAGAGCCGCCGAAAGCGGCACCGTTGGGTGGCGACACCAGCGGCAGTGTTGCTGTGTCGCCGCGTCGAGAGCCACCCGGCGCAGATTGTCGTGGAGTGGGTGTTCCAGAGCTGTTAGTGACGGCGGCCAGCTTCCGTACGGCGTGCGCAAAGCGCTCCAATACCGTGGCGATGCTACCACTAGGCCTTTCCTGCAGTACGGCACTTAAAGGCGCGCTGGCGGATGTGCGCGGCGGCGTGGCAACGCCTCGGGTTGTCGTGCTATCGGGCCCTGGATTGCAGTACAACGGATTGCTGCTGCGGCCGCCTCCGCCATCAGCGTCGCCTCCGCCTCCGCCAAGGTTGCTGTTACCATCAGCCTCGGCCTCGGCCGCCACTGCCGCTGCCGCTGCGGCTGCTGCAAAGGGCGACGACGGTAGGCCCACACACCGTAAGGATCCCTTGGTGGTTCGAGGGGAGAGCTCCGCTGAATGTCCTAGGACCACCATATTGGGGTCAACGCCAGTAATGCCATACTCCAAGCAGCCGGTGTCACCGCTTGCCGTTGCGGCGCGGCCGTGGCCGTCGACAGCCCTGGCTGGCGTTGAGAAGATGGCACTAATCCGGCGAAGGCTGGAGGAGCCGGCGGAGGTACGGCACCGCTGCTGAGCCGTCGCGTCGGACGCGGTGGACTCCTCTGGCGGCGGCAGGGGTGACGGCGCCGTTGCCGCTGCTTCTGCCTCGTCGTTAACGGCCTGTGCCGCAGCGCTGCGGCGGAGGGTTGAGATGCGGTGCAGCCCGCCACCCAGCTGCACACTGCGGCGGTGTAGCCGCTGCGGGGAGGTGAAGCTGCTGTCCAAGCGCACCGAGTCAGGATCGAAGGAGACACGTGCGTCGAGCTCCTTCACAATAAACTCCACCTGCATTGGCGCGCATACGCGATGCTGATAGCGCGCCACAGCCGCCGTGGAAAGGAGCACAGCCAGCCCGAGGGCCCCCTAAGGTAAGCTGCAATACAATCATGTACCGCCAACCGCCGTTTTTTGTCCACGTCCAAATCTCATCCCATCCAGTTTCGGTGCTTCATCTTCCGATCCTTAGCCCACTCCATAACGTGCCCAAACGCGACGTGTGCATATTTACCTCGTCCGGGCCCATCCCATGTGTCACGCCAATCATGACCAGCCAGCGTTTCATGATCTTGACGCGCGCGGGGTCCAGCCGCTCCGAAACCCTTTCCACGATGCGCTGGTGCAGCGCGTTTGCGTTAGCGGTGGCGGCGGCGCCGCCGCCAGCACCGGCGGCGATGGTCGTGCTGTTCGATGCACCCTCGGCGCCGCCCCCTGCTGCACCGCCACGACGGCGCCGCCGCAGGGTTTGTGTTGGCTGCTGCCGCGAGTCGACGGTAGCAACGGAGGAGCGCGCCACTCCCGGGTTGTACGGCTCGCCATCGGTGTCCGTCGTGCCTCCAGACTCGGTCCCCAAATCCTCCTCCTCCTCCGCTTCCGCCTGGAGGGGTTGCAATGAATCCATTTCCTCGCCGCGCTTTCCCTCAAGACTCGACAACACAGCAACAAATAGGGACGACGACAAATAACAAGTATAGCAAGCAAGGAGCAGGGTTGGGACTAGCTGTCGATCCCGCAGTCCTGCCTTTCCTCAGATCCTTCAGATCCTTCAGATCCCACGCTGCAGAACCCTTGCGACTAAAGAGTAGTAAGGCCAGAGGAGGACCAAACGGCAGAGGATGGGACAAGCAGGGCGCTTCCTCTCGTGCACCCGCGTGCAGAATACACACACATGACGCCATACATACAAAACGCGAGACACGCACGTTGAAGGAAGTGATGAGGATGGCCAGGAACAGCGACAGCAAAACAAAGTTGCCGATGACCACCCACACTGCGAAGTACAGCACGGCGGCGTTGCCTGAGCCGCGCATGCCGTTCCACGCAATGCGCAGCCAGTCGTCGCCTGTGCGCGGATTGGAAGCGGCGAGCGGCCAGTGGCAAGGCGAGGAAGGACGCAAAGGCCACATATGGGCTTAAGAAACGCGCATGGGTAGGGATACAAAATTGCAGCAGTAATGCGAGAAACGAGCTAGGCCTGGCACATGTACGTGGGTGGGGGAAGTGGCGCAAGGATAAGAAGATGCAGCCGAAGTAAAGCAAGCTGTCGAAGTAAAGTAGCTCCGTCGTCCGGCAGTCCCTGGCTAGGGCCACGGTGTTGGAGCGTTGGCAAGACACGTAACGGAGAGGCGCGCGTAATGTACGGCACCTGCTTGCTGCAAATGGCCTAGCGTACGCAGCGTCAGTCCAACGAACTGGGGACATATAAACGGACGAACAGGCTGCTATACTGTGTTGTACTGTATTGTGCTACACTGCATCGGATAGTTTTTAGGTTTGTAATGCGACACTATGCTAAGGGGTATGATGCTGCATTCCCTTTCATTTTACTGATCCATCATGTTGCGATGCCTTGTACCCACAGGTGAGAATCTGGAACACCGTATAGCCGGCCTCCCAAAGCGTGTTAAAGTTGGATCGCGCGCTATCTGGATCGTCCGTGTTGGCCGCCGGCTGGAAGCTCCACAGCCCACCGAACTGGTGCAACCCGAGCACCGAAAAGATGAAGATGAAGAGCGAGGTCAGCAGCAGAAAATTCCCCAGCGCATAAAAGCCCTGTTGACGAACACAGGGCCGGGTGGGGCAGGTGCACAAGAAACATGGGAAGTGTAGACATGCGGATGATAACTACCGGCAGATGGCATGCCGTGCCCAATCCCTGGCGAGGTCATGGTCCATGGGTGAAGACATGCACTCCGTGAACACAAAACAACATGTACCGAGCCAAATGTAAACCCACCACCGTCGAATCACACGAACCCAATAAGAGACACGCACCCGCAGAACCATCTTAATCAGTCGGTGGAGGCTCTTGATGCGACGCAGCAGCTTTAGCGTCCGCAGGATGCGCAGCACGCGGAGAGTCCTAAGGGCCTGACGGGGCCAAAGGAAGGCGGAAGTAAGCCCATCAGGCCATAGCGGAAACCAACCGACGAAGTGGGTCTATGTGCGGTTAGCTGGAAGGTCTTGAATGCGCATCAAGAGACAAGGATGCGGAGCGGCTAGGCCACAGCTGGACAGGGAGGTTAATGCAGATTGGCTATTAAAGGGGACACATTTGCCAAACCTGGCACGGGCTGAAAAGGAGTCCAACGGCTAGGCGCTCGCGGCATGGTGCAGTGATTGGGTTGCAGCCCGCAGCGTCCCATAGTCCGGCGTTCTTCCCTAGCCTCCCGCCCCACAGTCCGGCGTTCTTCCCTAGCCTCCCCACCCCTCAAGGCAACGTTAACGCACCCCGTGTGATGCGGCCCTGGTGTGACGTGCCAACCAACTACCACCCACCTGTGTACCGGTCTTGCCTCCTCCCGTGGCCACCAGGATGAACTCCGCTATCGACACGCCCACCACCACACCGTCAAGGATGTCCCACGGGTCGGTCCAGTAGCGCAGGAAACCCACAGCCACGTGCTTGAGTACCAGCTCCACGATAAAGATGCAGGATAGAACTGGAGGGGAATCAGAAACGAAGACCACGAGACAATCGGGAGCAGCGTGGGGATTGGGACGTTGTGAAGGGACGCAAAGGTTGGCACAAAAAGGTGGAAGAGGGGTACACGCGCCCCACACCGGGGTGGGAACTGCAGGAACCAGTTGCTGCAAAGATGATGACGTCAAATCTGTTAAACACAAAGGCGGACCCGGTTGGTTGGAAGGTATGCGACAGGAAAGGATGAAGCAAAAGGTGGACGGGGCTGACGGGGCTGACGGGGCTGGTGTGCAACACCGCGAAACGGCAACCCCGCCAAAAGTCCCGCCTGCCCCCAAGCGCCGCCCGATGTCCCCCCCTCCACTTTCTTGGCCCTCATTCCTCACTGTTGTTGGTTATGTCGATCGCACGTCCCAAAGTGGGCCCGATGCCGTAATGATCCATCGCCAGTGCCACAGTGTTGATAACGATGAGGACTGTCATGGTCCGCGCGAAAGCCCCATGGTGCAGGACCGAGTATGTGCGTCGCCGCCACAGCGGCATCCGTACACGATGTAACGGCTGCATGTGGCGAAGCTTGAAGTCGTACACCCAAGCGCCCACCGCGCGCTTCAAGGCGCCGTACCGCTGCGCCGCAGCGGCAGCGGCAGCGACCAATGCAGCCGCTGCCCGCCCCGCGACGCTGCGAGGCGGCGCCGGGTGGGTCGAGGATGGGGGCGCGGCCGTGGCGACTGCCCTTGAGGTAGAGGCGGTGTCCCGTTCCTCGGTATCTTCCAGCTGCTGCAGGTTCGCTGTGGTGTTGGTGCGGCTGACGGGCCCTGGACTACGCGCCTGCAGCCACGTCGTGTGGGAAAGGCAGGGTGGCGGTGCAGTACGGGTTAGTCGTCCTGGGGAGGAGGTTCCCGTGACCAGTTCCAATGCATTCCGGTGCGATCTGTGTCATTGAAATCCCCAACCATCCGCAGAAAATTGCGATTTTTCTTGCAATCCTTTCTTCCTACTTTGTATCAGTGTAAACTAAATATCAATCCAATGTCGTCGAGCTGCTGCCCAACCCAGTCAAGCCCTATCGCTGTCGGGTCCATCTGCACCGACAGCACCCCTTCGCCTTCCACACGCCCTTCTCCAGCGGTCAGTAGGACCCACCATCGCCTCCAGCTGTGCAAACCTGTGTGGCAGGAAAGGGTCCACGAGGGCGGATAATTATTCGCGTAATAGGGCGGCGCAGGGCCTGCTGCCGACAAAGGCAGACACGCGGGCAGCATGCCGAGACGTGAGAGCGAGGTTTCGAACTCCTGATTCCTGATTAAAGAAAAATGTAGATGCATCCAGGTATGTAACACCCACCCCATTAATTATATGGGTAATCAGCACTCTTACTCCCATTCGCCCTCTCCTCCACTTCCCCGTGATCACTTCGCATCGCCACTTAATGACTGGTTTAGCATGAGACTCCCTCCTTCATCCCTCACCACCCTCTCACTTGCTGGACATAACGGCCACCACCAGCTGCATCGCAAAGAACGCCCCGAACAGCACCAGCAGGCTGAAGAAGGCGATCGGCAAACCAGGACCCAGAGCGCTCCACAGGGGGTAGAGCTGCAGCTGGCTCCACCCGTCCAGCGTCAGCACCGCAAAGATGTTGAACGAGGCCATGCCAAAGTTGTCAAAGCCAGTGTAGCCGAAGTTAGGGTTGCCATACCGGCCCTGGCAGGATACGGCTGCGGGCAGTGCGGCGAGTAAGGGAGATAGTGGGGGAGATAGTGGGGGAGATAGTGGGGGAGATAGTGGGGGAGATAGTGGGGGAGATAGTGGGGGAGATAGTGGGGGAGAATCGACGCATTATGATAAGAACCGAACGGCCTCCTGGATGGCGGCCCGAGTGGGTCAGAGACAGAAGCGAAGTTATGCAACTATACAAATTTTCACATGTGGACCAAGAAAGTACACAAGCACATACAGGACAACGCGAATATATTATTATAGACATAATAATTGTGAATTAGCTGAGCATAGGTCCGATGAGGGTTCAGGAAGGGAGAAACACGAAAATGCAAGACGAGTTACTTGAAGGAAATGGCGACTCGGCACAGCTGCACCGGCATGTCACCGGGTAGGTAGCTCCAGGACGTTATCATAAGGCCGTTGCTTTGTTTCCCGGCTGGTGGCCTCGGCTCCAGACCTCTTCGCCCCTCGCCGATCTCAGCAGCTAGCCAGCATGCCGCTGCTCCCCTCTCCACTCTTCGGTCAAATGCTCTTCGCCGCCACTTCCCCAGTCCAGGGTAATCAACGAAGACCTTGCTGAACGAGCCCAACCCGGAAAAGCTATATGCGGTAAATCGAAAAACCGTGGACCGTGCCACTTACCGAATCCATCGTATTCCCCAGGGCATTTGGATGCACCCCCGGAACCCGAAGAGCTGCACGGCATGTCCTCCCAGCCAGGGACAAACATCCAGCCACCTCCCGCGGCATTGCTGCTGCTGCTGGTATTGCTGTTACTGCTGCCATTGCTGCTATGACTGCCAGACAGAAGAGCTGCTAAAGGAGCTAAGGCTACTCCCGCGCCTGTGACAGCAGAGCCGGCAAAGCCGCCGCTGCCGCCAGCGCTACTGCTGCTGCTGCTGCTGCCATTACTCCAGGGCGGTGCCGCCAGCGGCGGTAATAACCCTGCCGCTGGCGCGGTGCCATTCGCGACGTAGTAGACGCAGCGGCTGTGCAGTGCGCTCATGAAGACGTTGAGCGCTATGATGCCAAATGCAAAGAAAACCCAAACCAGAAGGAACAACACGTCCAGCAGCAAGGGCACCACCTCCAGGAGGCATTGCACTAGCCGCCGCAGACCTGTGTGTAAGGAGCCGACCCAGGGCCAGAGTCAGAGTTCTTTTGCACATAACTACGCCCCATGTGCAACATCACGCGCTTGTGTGTTAAACCCGCCTCCTCCTGCCGCACCTACGTGCCTTTGCGACCCCCTATGTGCGAACAGCCAACCCATCCTTATCTCCTTTGGCCTGGGTACACACGGCGCCGGTCTCCCTTTAAACCCTAAGATGTCTGTCAGATCCAATGCTTAGGTTGCGGCCCGCCCGCCCGCTCATCAGGCGCCCCACCCGGAATCGCCTTGAGCGCCCGCAGCGGCCGTAATGCCCGCAGACCCCGCAGCTCGTTGAGCCCGCTGCTGCCGTCCATTACCGGCAGGAAAACCACGTAGCCGCTGACGGTGGACACCAGGTCTGAGGACCGACCCAACGATGTAGAGAGGCAGGGCGCGGGGACAGGGGAGAGGTAGGTATGCGAATCCAATCGATGGCAAGCTATGCGGCGCTTTGCTTAGACGGCAGCTCGTTTGCATGGGTGAGCAGCCTGGAAACGCTGGGAGCAAGGATGTGCTTTGGCGCGGTGGGTGGGCGCCGTGGGTAACGGAGGTGCGAAAGCAATAACAGCACGCAAAGAGCCCCTAAGGGGTTTCCGCGAGGGAGACGGGAACATTGTGTTGATGAATTGAACCTGTAAACACACGAGCCGGTCATGCCAGCCGTGCCGGGCGAGTCAGCTACCCGGAGAGGGGAGGAAGCCCGTCTCCCGCCAGCATTCCCACTACCACAGTCGTTAATGAAATCCCTCCTCCCCCCGACGGCTGGGCCCCATGGGCTCCGCCCCCTACCCTCCAGGCAACCGTTCGTGCTGACTCCTGTGCAACTTCCTCCAAAAGCCAGCGCTGCTGCGTTAATTCTGCCAACAGTGCGTACCAAGCCTGCCTGGCATCCGGCCAAACCCTCCCACCCTACCCTCCCGCCCCTACCCCTGGTATATCCCCTATCCCATAGCGTCCAGCAGACCCGTCTCTGCCCACCTATCCAGTTCCAGCCGTTGTGCAGGTAGGCAGACGGCCCCAGCAGGAAGCAGTGGGCAATCGCTTGACAAAGTATTTCCAGTGTGAAGCACGCAGTGAAGATCGTATCTGTAATGTAGAGGGCCTACACAGGAAGAAACGCCGGGCGGCCCGTCGGAGTTATGTCGCCCAACACCCCCTTCCACGTGAAACCCCAGCATTCGGAATAGCTAACCTACTTGCATGTATTCACTGTCACGACATTTCATATCGCATGGGCCCGGATCCATTGCCAGTGTGATGCAGCTGAGGAAGACAAGGAGCAGCACGGCCTTGCCGAAAGCGTCTGCTCCCGTCAAGGACAAGCACGCTTTCCTCACATAGCTTCGTCTGCTGAATATGTAAAACGACCTGTCATTTCGGTTGAGTAACTGTAAGACCTCAACGGCGGGCTGGAAGAAGGATGTGGTATTATCCTGCACCAGGCCTTGCGAAGCTCCCTGTCCCCCCAGAGTTATCAGCTGAAGCTGATGACCTGATGCTATTCTGGGGGCAACTTCGCAAGAAGCCCCGTCGGCGGCAGGAACGGCATCACCTCTGTCGGATGGGAGAGGCGCTGCCTGAGCCCGTTCCCCCATACCATCCATATATTATTTTGTACTTGTACATACTGGTACAGAACAAATTTCTTGCGATATGTGCAGATGGATAAAACATCTATACATGCTCAACACCTGGTCCATTTGTTATACCAATGTTGCTTTTCAATCACAATAAATATAAAGTGTACAGTGGCAAATAATGCTTATGCCTTTGCAGGACTCCTTCGGTGTGTCGCGCTGGTCACACGCACTTTGGCTCGCCATCTAGCTAGAGCACAGTAATCCGTACGGAACTCGAGAAAGCCTTTTGCCCACGGCTCCTCCGCCCTACTAAACAACCATTCCGCCCTAGTGGCAGTTCCAAGCTATTATGCGCACGGATGCTTTGGAAAGGTGGCGCTTTTGTAACGCCCTTTTTTCTTGCCAATCGGAATTATAACACTAGCGCGGACATTGTCCAAGTAAAATAACTGGACAACAATGGATAGTCATGCTACCGATAGGCTCGCGCTCTTTGGGCCGCGTCTTCCACGACTTCTAACGAGGTAATAACTAATACGTATTTGTATCC